CTGAACGCGCAGAAACCACAGCTAGAAATCACCAGGAACAGATTTTTGGGTTGGAGGGAAAAAAATGGAGCATCGGAGTAAAGTACCCTAAAATTCATATGTTTGGGGTCTTCCAGCGTGCGGACGAAAAATCTGATCTGGTGTTTCCTTGAGTATGTTCTACAGACAGGTGGTATGCAATATGAAGAGCCAACTCTCCACCTGGAGCCAGGAATACGTACTCCCAGTTTCTTGTCTTTATTCAAGTCAATAACAATTCGGCCACCGAGGTTTTGAAAAAAAAAAAACGTTTTTTGAGGTGGTCGTTCCGCTGTTTTTTGTTGGTCGTTAGCGGTGTAATCTCGAGGTCTAACTTGTTGTGCGCACGTGGACGTTTTTTTCTTGCGAAAGAACTGTCCCAGGAACTCTCTGTTCCCACCATACTGCTGTCAAGGGCTCGGCCGGCAACTCGTATTCTAGTCGCATGTTGTTCTCTAAGAAAAATCACGTGCCCCTCAACCCTCACTGCTGCACCCGGCGACACATCTTCCTGCGGTGGGTAGGCTTTTGCTCGATAGGCGACCTTTTTCTTTTTTTTCCGGCGTTTGCCTTTTTTTTTTTCGGCGAAAAAAATTGGTGATCGGCTTTTGTTTTCGGCGACGTTCGGCGACTGCATATCGTTTCTCGGTGAATCGTGTTTCACATTCGGCGATTTTTTTCGGCTGGTATCTTTCGCGATTTACTTCATCTCAGCGACTTTCGCGACGTATGCATGTACTTCTAGTAACACAAACGAGCTGGTCGCGAGGCTGGTCGACTGCTGCGGAGATCACCTGTCGGCGATAGGCGAAATAATGTGTCCTTTTCATATTTTTCTACTGCCATGATGCTTGACTCTACACTCTACTGCCATGATGCTTGACATGACAACACTACAACACTAAACATGCAATACTCCGAACCCTCAGAATTCGAACAAATAATGAAATACGATACGATGGACTTCGAAGTTACGAAGTTACGAACCGCACCACCACCGCACACCGCACGCCCGCCCTACGTGCGGGAAAAAAGCTGTAAATCTCGACAGGTTCTGACCCACCTACGACGTAAGACATCTACATGATAAATTAACTGAAACACTGAAACACAGGTCGTCAGTCGCTGTCTTCATCGCTGCTGTCATCGCTTTCTTCGTCGCTACCGCCGCCGTTGTTGGCATCTTCGGCGCCACCCCCCATCTCTGCTGAGCTACTCTGGGCCCGGCCCCTGTTGTACTTGAGCAGTACTGAAGCGCAAATACGGTCGCTGTACACGTGCTCTTGTCGCTCATTAAAGCAACACCGCAGGATGGAAAACACTCGTTCCATGAACGCAGAGGATGGTTGCAAGAGAGCAACATCCAACACCAAGGCGTGCCACGTAGGGAGCTTCTTCTTGTTGTCGTTCCAGAAAGCCATGTGGCCGTACTCGGCTTCTGTGTCACTGGCCGCCATGTAGAAGTCTTCCTTCTCCTTCAACAGCCCCCTGACCATCTTCTTCTTGACGAACGGGAGCACCTTGAGGGTGCGAATGGTGTCATCGGAGTACTTCCTGCCTTTCATGAACGTGAAGTCCGTGAGCTTCGCGGCCTTGAACACCTCCAAGGTCTTGGCGTCCCTCGCTTGGGAATGGCGTCCGATCTTGTCGTGTGCGTACTGGCGAAGGGGGTCCAGCGCGTCCTGCATTTCGCTCGCGAGCAAGTCACAAGTTGCCCCCTTCACACGCAAGGCATGGGGGTGTGCCTAGGTTTTAACATAGTTGAAAACACGCGCGGACGGCGAGCGACTAGCGGACACTTCTCACGCAAGTAACACACGATGTGGATATGTAAGTGTGGTGTTCTCGTGGCCATGGCTCCCCGACTTCTGATATTCCTGCCTGCCGCCTCCGCGACCTTGGCATGTGCCCGCCTCCGTTCGGCCAGGCTGACGACCGCACGGTCCCTCTCGATGCCCTCCTCTCGCTCCGGTGCAGCAGGGTTGTTCGCGATCGCCTCCACCCGCTTCGCACGTTTGTCGGCGGCCCGCTTCTCACTGTTCTTGCGCGCTCTTTTCTTCGATGCGTCTGCCGCCTCTTGGAACCAAGTCATCAGACCGTTCCGTACCTCAGGCGGTATCGATTCCGGACATTCGGGGGAAGTGGGGCCACCAGCACTACGTTGGAGTGCAGGGGCACTACTACTACTGTTAGAAGAAGCTGAACCAGCTGCAGAGATCCGTGGTGGAACTCTGGCAC